ATGTTCACTAACTAAAACTTTAAATGTATATATATATGCATATATATATATATATGCATATATATATATAAAATAAATATATATATTTACAAATATACAATATTTGTATACTTATATACAATATAAATACAATATTTATATACAATATATATACAAATATATATAATATTTGTATATTTGTATATATATTTGTGTATATATATATAAATACATAATATATAAATGTATATTATATATATAAACTTTAAATATATATATATTTAAAGTTTTATTTAGTGAACATATAGTGCAATGTATTATATATATATATATATAAAATAAGTAAATGTTTGGTAGAATTCCTGCTCAGAGTCTCTTTTATGGTTTGCCTCTCTGTTTTTCCCCCATGTTCACCTGTTTCATTTCTGAAATGCCACATATGAGTGAAATCATATGGTATTTGTCTTTCTCTACCTGACTTCTATTGTTTAACAAAAGACCCTCTGGTTCCATCCATGTTGTGGAAAATGGAAAGATTTCTTTCTTTATTAAGGCTGAATAATCTTCTATTGTATAAACATACTACATCTTCTTTATCTTTTATGTATAAGATTAGGTTGAGAATTTGAGATTTTTCTTTTTCAAAAACCTGATTTTTTTTTTCAGTGTTCCAAGATTCATTGTTTATGCACCACACCCAGTGCTCCATGCAATACATGCCTTTCTTCATACCCACCACCAGGTTCACCTAGCACTCTAACCACTACCCCCCAAAACCCTCAGTTTGTTTCTGAGAGCCCACAGTCTCTCATGCTTCCTCTCCCCCTCTGATTTCCCCCAATTCACTTTTCCTTTCCTTCTCTTAGTGTCCTCCATGTTATTCCTTATGCTCCACAAATAAGTAAAACCATATGATAATTGACTCTCTCTGCTTGACTTATTTTACTCAGTCCTGTCCATGTTGATACAAAAGTTTAGTATTCATCCTTTCTGATGGTGGTATAATACTCCATGGTATATATGGACCATATCTTCTTTATCCATTCATCTCTTGAAGGGCATCTAGGCTCTTTACACAGTTTTTCATTTGTGGCCATTGCTGCTATGAACATTGGGGTACAGATGGCCCTTCTTTTCACTAAATCTGTATCTTTGGGGTAAATACTCAGTAGTGCAATTGCAGGGTCATAGGGAAGCTCTATTTTTAATTTCTTAAGGAATCTCCACACTGTTTTCCAAAATGGCTGCACCAACTTCCATTCCCACCAAGAATGTAAGTGGGTTCCCCTTTCTTCACATCCTCTCCAACACATGTTGTTTACTGTCTTGTTAACTGTGGTCTTTCTAACTGGTCTTTCTAACCACAATGTGGTTTTCATTTGAATCTCCCTGGTGGCTAATGATGATGAACATTTTTTCATGTGTCTGTTAGCCATTTGTATGTCTTCTTTGAAGAAGTGTCTGTTCATGTACTTTTCTTTTATGTATCTTGTGGTGAGACAGTTGGGATCTACCCTCTTGGCAAATCTCACATATGCAATGTCTCTACCTTCTGGTATGCATATTTCATTCTCAGGCTTGCTTCTGCTGCTGAAAAATGGATTGTAGTTGTTTCAGGCTATATAACCCGCACCTTAAAACCTAGGACAAGAGAGAACATGTCTATCCCCGGTAACTAACCCTACCCTTGTAAAAGTTTTCTACCCCTGTAAAAGTCAGTCTTTGTAACCTATGCCACCTGTAGCAGGTGTCTAATGCTAAACCATCAACCTGTGTGAGTATGAGTAACATCTGTCTGCTAGTTAGCCTGAAATGGGAGTTGCCTGCCCATCCTTCAGCCTGTCACATTGTCAAGATTGTTTTCTCCCAATGAGCTCAGACTGATTGGAGTCCAGAACTACACATGAGGGTAGAGCCAACCAACCAAAAACAACATGGTGGCAATGTGAAGGTCATGTAGTAGACTGTAAACTAGAGAAACATCCAGCTGGTCTCATCAGGAGAGAAGATTGGGGAACTACCACTGTTTCCACACCTGTTATCCCATAATTTTCACCTTTGCCACCTCTCCCATCTCAACACTATTTTCCAGAAATGTCCACATATGTAACAGTAGAAGCCTGTCTGGAAGTCCCTCTACCCTGAGCCCCTAGTTCAATCCAAATAAGTTGCTGCACTAACAAACTGGATAAAAACAACAAGGGAAGCCATATTCAAATCAGGAGAACAAGATTTTCAGGCTCCTAAAACAGTGATGACCTTTTCCTCCCCACTACTTGACACTCAGAGTGTCCCTGCTGCATGGTCAGGGTTTGAGAATGGTTTGTAGATAACTGAGGCAATGAATGTCTCCACTCCCACTGCCATAGAAGTCATCAGTCACAGAGGGTCCATCTTCATTATTCATGGAGTCTGTCTGTACTGATTGACTTACCTGCTGACATTGATTTGTAAGCCCCAGACACAGGAGCTGACTCCTTCTCCTGGACACATAGGGTGGCTCGACAAGAGTCACCCACCTCAGGTGATCCCAGCTGAGGCTGCACCATGTGATTCTCTGCCTTCCTGTGTTAATTCCCACACTGTAAGTATATGTCCTATCCATGGTCCATTTGGTGTCACATTTTCTGAATTCCGGGCTCTCTCTTGGTGATTTTAATGTTTAAAATGGCCATTAAGCCAGAGCTACTGGGCTGACTGGTTTCTTAGGCACAAAGGGAGGATGAGTCTCACAGACAAAATACCTTTTTAGCTAAGACTTATTCAGATTCCTGATGCAGAACTGTGGGGCACGATTTCAGTGCTAATGAGTAAACAATGTAGTAAATCCAAGAAAAAGGATAAGACACTCATGATGTCTATGTGGAACCACTCAGAAAGTGCTGAATTAACATATGGATGCTATCATAACACTAGAGGAAAGGGGGATAAGGAGCTATATTCATGGATTCAGAAATGATGACCATTTCTTGTTTACTTATTTGTCTGTTTGTTTGTTTCTAAAACCATCACGGATAGCAGAGCTGTGGGGCTGAAAGTCAAAAACAATGGGAAACACAATACCTAAATTAGAAATGTTACATACTTCTGAGCTAGTATTTCAGTATGGGGAAAAAGAACATACAATAAATTATTTACACACATATATGTGTAAATATTTTATTTTAATATATATTATATATTATATGACATATAATATATATGATAATATATAATATTAATTATTAATATTAATAATATAATATAAACTATATATTTTAATAGAGCATAAAATAAATTATTTAATAGAGCATGAAATAAATTATTTACAAATATATATTTGTATATATTTGTATATTGT